AAACCGGGTTGCTATTGACGATGGTTTTGCTATTAAAAATATCAGGTTTGTGTAGGATGTGAAGATTCCAGTGATGTATCTCTCTGACCAATCAGTGTCCTACAGTGTTTCAATTCTGCCCTCTAGTTTTGACTGAGCTTGCTTGGAACCTCAACCATGGTGATATCAAAAAAAGTACCAGGTCCTAACCATAACTTTGGCTGATGAGTCGAGTTGAGTCGAGTCAGGCTGACCATGCTGTGGAAATGTAACTAATGCTAGCAGTGACTGACTGAGGGAACAGACAATTGAAATGCACCTTTGGGAATTGAACAGTTGGGCCACAGTGACACACTAGCTCTTCACATGCAACCACTTAAACACTGCAAAAGACACGAAATGTGTAACACAACAGCGTCAACCTCTAGTGTAACCTATAACATATGTGTCTGCAGTACTTTATAATAACAATGGCATTAACATGGCAATAACAATCATTTACGGTCTTTGTTATGTGGTGATTTCGTCCACTGTTCTGAGGGTAAGGAGCTCCCGGACCTAATTGTTTTCAGCTTGCAGACATTCCTTCTTTGAGTTAGCCGCTAACTGCTATCAGTTGCTTTTTAAATCTCCTGCGTCGGGTTGCACGTATAATAATACGTCATGAAAACGTCACACATGTCTGGTCCATGGTCACATCCTGCCAGCTGCCCTGTTTATATAGATGTTGTTTCGGCGCTGTTACTACCTCCCCTGCCGGCTTAAAGGAGAGGCAGCTCTGCCCCCACATTTCATGATTGTACCGTTCATACAGAACAGCAAGGCGGCATGATGGCGTTAAATTCCTGCCTTGAAGAGGCAGTCTAAAAGGGGCTTATGATACAGTAGAAAAATAGAATAAAGCCCCCTTTTCTGTACCCGCTGATACTGCAGATCAGGAAAATACAAAAGACATATGGTGGTTCACAATGAGCATGTTGCTGCACACGTCACATGATTTACTTGCGTTTAGCCAAAGACTGATTAGGCTAACTGATGTATTAAATAATGTTTTTTAAGTATCTGAAATACAAACACAGGCTCTTAAAGTCTTTTGTTGCAAACTAAATGTTGTGTTTTTGTTCTGTCAAGCAAAATACAAATTGCAAAATACTCAAAAGTGATTGAATACGTATTTTAAATGAACTGAATTACTGGCCGTATCTGGCTATTTGTGTATTCCATGTAAATGGCCCTGGTTTCCTGTGTGTGAGAGAACCATCTTGTTGGTGAGATGGGCTTTTCAGAGGCTCAACATCTGCCCCAGTTTGTTTGAAGTCCATCTGGTACAAATTTCCAGCGCCAGGGGGGGAGTTAGAGCAGAAGTTGAATATTGATTAGACCAATCTGAAATATTCGCCTCCTTAGAACAGTTGACACTGCACGCCTCTGCAAGATTAAGTGAACGAGCAGCCCACTGAATCCACTTAACAACCTGAGTCAACTTCTTGAGTGCCCTTACAGACTGGCATTATTGTTGCATTGACCCCTGCAGTGAGTAATGACAAGATGTAGCCTTCTACACAGCTCAAGAGGAGCTTTCGAGTAGCACAAAGGATAGGTAAAAATTCAGGAAATGTTTGGCGGCTGTGAATGAGTAACAATTTTGTGCTGTTCAACAATAGAAAAGTTTCTTGCCTTTTTGTGTGTGATGAAAAATGAGATATGTTTGGTCATTTTTGGACAAAGAAAGCAGGAGAAGAAAATAAGGACTATTGTTGTTTTTTCTGTTGTGTGTGAGAGAAAAACATTATGTAAAGTTCCATTAAAGCCTAGTCTAAGGCAAACTAATGTTCCCTGCAACGACTAACATAAAGCGGTGTGGTGTTACAGTAAAATATCTCTGAATGTGCCACAGAAGTGATGAATTCTTCACATTATACTATTTGATATGTGGCATGGTGTTCCTCTGCCCTCACTGCCGTCCTTTTTCATCTGCTCTGGACGGCAGGGATCCATTTGGTGAGCAATTCTTAAATTCCCAGAAGCTGTAGTTACCATTAAGAGAGAAATCCACAAATGTAGTTCTGTCGAAAACTGTTCTTTTCTTCTGAGGTATTGCGCCATAAAACCTCTTGCCAATACTTCTCCTCTCCCATAGATTGCAGTTTCAGTCTATATAAAGCACCAAAGCAACATGCAGCACTGGCAAAAACCTGGCTTTACTTCCCTGAACAGTTGACAAGATGAAACAGTACACTTACTCGTTAATGGGGAGTAAACCCAATTGCACTTTCTCCTTCGTCTCTCCATCTCTGATGTAAAATGGACCAAACAGTCTGTGCTGAGAGTTTGGTAGATGTGTTCATGCAATATGACACATCATTATTCTGTAAAGTATGGCTCCTTCCCCCCCTCCCCAGAATGATACAACTGATGATGCAGTATCATAATAATCATTGCTGTGTCGATAATAACCACAGGCACATCTGGTGCGGCAGCTTTATTACTGGTGACACAACACTTCTCTCCTCTGGGACTGACTGGCCTTCCTATCATTTCACAGCTGTAGCTTTAGTTAGCTGTTGCATTACAGACAGCTGTGCGTCATGTCCCCATGTCCCTCCTGTTTTCCTAAGCTGATGTAATATGTTTTTACTTTGGGTGATTAATGTAGTCAAAGGTTCTGTATGTAACATTCAGAGCTGTGGTTTGTTGCATGTGTGAATCCCATATGACAGTTACTGCTGATGGGACAGCAGTGTCCCTGGTAACACCTTTAGCTCTAGGGGCTGTTGTTTAGCGCTGCTTATGGAGTTAGCACCATTAGCGGCTAGCCGCCAGCTCAGCCACCTCCATGTTCAGGGGACATGGACCCTGTCCAGACACCTCTTATGAATTTCACGCAGAACCCCAACCTTTCAGTGTTTTTTAGCACTGGATTAGATATTTTCAAAAGCCAAATATGCTTTTCCATTATGCATTTTTATGCATAATATTTGGCTTTGAAGCTGCTATAACCTATATTTTTATATCAACAATAAGGTGACAACAATTCCCCTCCGCTCTCACAACACAGGTTCACAGAGGTGTTGGACTCAAGTGCACCACTCAGGAGACAGTTGAGTGAATAATCAAAAGTCTTTACACGGCAGGGGTTCGGTACACAGGCAGGCAGTCAGACAGGCAAATAATCCAAAAAGGGCTTGGCAAAAGATGAGGTCACAAAACAGGAGCAAGGATCAAAAGAACAGGAGCACTGAAATGAACTGGCACAAGGAGCAGGGAGTGCAGAGACTAAATACACAAGGGAGCCAGGGATAATTGGACACAGGTGAAACAAATCAGGGCCGGGCAGACAATCACAGAAGCGGGAAACACTTGAGGGCAGGAAGTGGGGGTTCTGAAATGAGAGAAGAGGAGTAACAAAATAAAACAGGAAATTAATCTACATTGTGAAAATAATGAAAAACACGACGCAGGTAGCTTGACAAGACGTGGCACACTACTTAGGGGCGGCAGTAGCTCAGTCCATAGGGACTTGGATTGGGAATCGGAGGGTCGCCAGCTCGAGTCCCTGTTCGGACCCCAAGTCCATCATCCTGAGACTGTACACTAAGCATAGCGAGGGGGGCCGAGGACTGGTGAGCGCCAGAGCCACTGTCCAGGAGGAAACAACCAAGATCCAGGAATACATCAGGAAGATGGCCCCCAAAGATGAGCTGCTGAGTGAATACCTCAGGCAGCAGAACCCCGAGAATGCAGAAGAGGAGGATGAACCATGAAACACAATTAATCAGTATTATTATTATGTTTATTTTATTTTATTTTATTTTATTTTATTTTTATTTATTTATGTATTTATTTAATATATTTATGAATGAGGCAAAATCAATCAGGTCAAAATATGAGTGCTGTGTGAAGGGAGTCTTTCCTTTTTCAAAGCCAGTCCAAGGATTATATGCAGAAAATTGTACAACCATTTGAGACAAGATGCAACAGGCTACATATAAATAAATTGACACTGACTTGACTTTCTTGATGAGATACAACCATACCTTTCTTATTGATAGTACTGATGTAACTAAGCTATCTGTCTTTTCTAGCATTAGCTTGGAGCATAAAAAGCAAGCAAAACATGAAAGATTTTGGTGGTGACTGGTAATGTTGAATATTTGTCCCATTTCCCCAAAACTATATCCATTTATATTTCATTTCACTTCGGTTGTATTTGCCCAAGAAACTATTTTAGGTTGAATTTATCTCCAGATGCACAGGGTCAAGGTGATTTTTTAACTGGAGAGGCAACATCTTAAATGTCATTTTGTATCTTGCACGTGACAACATGAAATAGCAAAAATCTCATCAGCTCAAAGATAGCCCAGGAGGTTGTTTGGAGTCCTGACAGGCTCAGGCTGAAAATGTCAAGTTGTTATATAGCTGTCATCTCACAGTCAGTAATGAGGAGGTTGATATTGCTCAGACCGAAGCACCCAAACAGGTGATGGTGCTCACACAGGGGGTCAGCCTCATGATTTTTCTTCTCTTTGTCAATTCCTTCCACTGACCGACACCAACTGCCACTGTCAAACTATCTTCCTGCCAATTACTGCTCCAGCTTGTGTGTGTATTGTTGGACATAATAATGGGGACGACTTGCCTAGCTTGCCAAGCGGTAATTGTTGTGCTCTAAATGGACACTGGATTGTTCTGAATTGCTGTTTGGATGTCCAAAACATGGTGAAGCGGGACAAATTGTGCCTTTTGTCTTTCTGTGTCTTTATATTTACATATTGTTTCTCGCAGTAGTCATCATGGCTGGTTTTGCGTGTCTCTGTGCCATATGGCTTGGCTGACTTTGGGGATTCGTGACAACTAACCCCTTTGTAGACTGTAGGAATTAGCACAACAAAAAGCCAGATGTTTCCCATCTCTGTAACATGTGGGTGAAATAAACCTCAATTTGAGCTGTCTTGGAAAGGATAAGCACAGCCAAAAAACAGCCCAGACACAAAAGAATCTCTGCTTCTTTGTCCCTGCAGAATGAACCAGGCGCCCACCACTGGTTTTGAGGAGGACGTGGGCGCCAGAACAACGCATCATGTCATGTATCCAGAAAGTGCCATAGACCTAGACAACACCACCAGTCTGGTGCTGATCCCTTTCAAGACTCTGGACCTGCAGTGGATCATTAGTGCTCTGACCACGGGCACCATTAAACAGTAAGTGTACTTATACAATGTTAAAGCTGCACTGATCAATATTTCATATGAGGAATGGATCAAATCGCTATGTTTAATGCGCAAGGTGTTGCTTGTAGGGCTGAATCCACAAAGAATTATCACCTGACTCTGCAGTTACCCTCAGCCCCACGGAGCTTTTTAGCATCTTTCAGCTCATTATTTTAGTTTCAACTTTGTTTGGAGCCACAGCAGACAGCTGTTTTGAAAAAAAAAAACATACACTAGCTTCCCAGCACCACATGACTGTCAAATAAAGTTAGCAACCAGCTACCAGCTACTGTAAGGAGACAGATATTTGTCACAATACTGTACTGGAGACCAAACCAGCCTTAACAAGGATATTAATATTGGACCAGCATGAGCCTGGTGGTGACAAACATGACTCCAAGTTAATACTAACACTACTAATTGTCTGTGTCTGCTGGATGTGTTAATAGCCAACACACTCTCACTCTGACCTCATCACATATTCACTTTTGGTCGTGGACTTTCCACGTCTTAGGTTGTTGACGTTCTGGGATGTCTGGTGTCAAAGTACACTTCGGTTTTCACGGGAAATGCACCGTTTGCATTCAGTCTCTTTCAAAATAAATGGTACAACACTGCAATTTGATTTTTTTTTTTTCCTTCAACAACAAACGCACAAATGGTTACGTTTGACTTTAGAATCTCACGGGAAGCAAACACAGGTCTTCCGGGTGAAAGTCAGTGGTTGTTGGATCTGTCCACCACCTGGCCCACCTGCCCTACTTACACTTCCAGCATCTTAAATTTTGTGTTTCCCCCGGGCACAGTTAAACAATGACCGGTCACATAGCATGCTGATGTGAAAGGATGGCTTTCAGAAGTCACTGACCAAGCACTGGATTTTGACAACTTTGGAGTGAGACCAGGTTAGATTCAAGATTCAAGATTCAAGATTCAATACTTTATTGCCATGTCGACATGAATTTGTTTGAGTGGAGCTTCACACACTGACAAAGAAACACTCACTCAATATGTTACACAATAAAATAAATCCAGACCATAAAAGGGAATAAATAGTAAAAAAAAATACTGCAACTGATTGCTAAGTAACAGGATTGTCATTTAGATAAAAAGCTGTTATGTCACTGTCACTGAAAAAAGTAACACGATGTTGATTGTATTGCAATATCTATATATTTGAAGTATAATGAACTTGGCATTTAGGGTGACACTTGAGGAAAAATGCCATATTGAGTTAGTGCTAATGCAAACTGAGTATTTCTTGCTGCTGCACCTTCACATTAAAAGCTTCGCTTAGCACAGGGTGCCCAGTAGCTCTGCCGGTAAAGTGGGTGTCCCATGTACAAAGCCAATGTTCTTGCTGCAGTGGGCCACAGAGTCAGTTCCAGCCTGTGGCCCACTGCTGCATGTCTCCCCTTCACGCTCAAACTGTCTGTTAACACAGGCAAAAAGCCAAAAAGAAATAATCCTTAAAAAAGCATAGCTCAGCACTTAATACTAAGTTACATAAAGTTAGGTGAAAACAACACTGACTTTTCGCTTTATGCTTTATATACTATGTTTGTTGCTCTTAGCATCAGGTATTGTGGATAGGCTGACATTGGAATTAGTCAGTGTGCCTCATTTAAACGCTAAAGGGTGCCTTTGGCGTCAATATTTCATGCCGAGGGGTGTGACAAAGCATCTGTGTCGACTCTGGGGATGAGAATGGGCTGGGGAGTAATGACACAGTCAGGAGCAGCCACAGTGAGCTGTTAGATGAAGAGCTGCAGGCGACAGGCTGCACACCTCTAACTTAGCGAGATAACCAACTCCTTTTACTGTGCCCCGCTGTCCACAGACTCATGCCGTGTGCAGCATAAAATCAGATCAAGGTTGCTGACAGAATGATAGAAAAAGGCAATTACTGCCTGAGTTTCTTTTTAATAAAACTACAACAGTTTGTTTTGCTGCTCCCAGAACTCTGTGACCTGTATTAAAGCACATACGCTGTTACCACCAGTGGAGACAGGTTTCATCAGATCAGCCAGGACTGAAATCTTCAAGATTGTCAAATAAAGAGAAGTTTACCATGTGGTTATTAAAAACTTCTTTTAGGTGTCACCTCAAAAAAACATTAATTGTGAAAAAGACAATGTCAGCAAGCTCAAAAATCACTTCTATTGAGAAAAATGAAATTTAATGATATAAAAAAGAAACACAGGCAATAAAGTCCCAAAAAAGCCAACAGCATTACAAAGGGGGCATTGACTGGATGCCTAAAGTCCAAAACTGATGCATATCTTAAAGGAGCAGTGTGTGGGATTTAGTGGCATCTAGTGGTGAGGATGCAGCTTGCAACGAGCTGAAACTTCTCCCATGTGCCAAGCTCGAACAAAACTGTTAGGATTCCTTTAGCGTTCATTGTTCAGGATGTTTTAACCACAAGTCAAATTATCCGCAGATGTCTCCTCCTCTCCAACAGACCAGGTGATTAAAACCAGCGAAAACACTGAATTTAGCAGTTTTCACATTACAAATCAGTGTTTCTCTTATGCTGTTAGTCTCCTTGCAGATGGGCCACTAGCCCAGCACCTGCTAACGTGTGCTCATTTTTTTCCCTTTGATAATTAAAGATCCAGATATTCAGGAGGTTTTACCGGGTGTCGAATTATCCACAGAGGCCTCTTCCTCTCCAAAACAAACTGACCCAGTGATTTATGACAGTAAAAACACTGAATAAAGCACTTTCACATCATAAATCAGTGCATCTCCAATGCTGTTTGGTATGTAGACCGGTGGCTTGCCCAACACATGCTCACCTCTTTTCTCTTACAACTTAAGATCCAGATGTTCAGGAGATTTTCACTGGCAGCCAAAACATCCAGAGAATTGCTTTCCTCTCCAAAACAGACACAGTGATTCAAACTGGTAAAAAACACTGAATAAATCTGTTTCACGTTGACAAAATCTGTGGTAACACTTTACTTTAAGGTATCTACATAGGAGTGACATGACATTGTCATAACTATGACAAGACACGGTCATGAACTTGTCATAAACATTATGTACATGTCATAAACATTCATGACTGCTGTCATTAAGTGTCATTCGGTTTTTGTAATAACAAGTTCACATTGTTTGGGTTGTCTTTGTCATGACAAGTTGACATTAAATTTGTTTGGGATGTCCTTATAATAACAACTTGACATTAACAAGAAATGTACCTCTCTTTGTGTTTATGACAAGTTGACATAATGATTATTATTATTGTCATGACAAAGACATCTTCTGTTAATGTCATCCTGGTTTATGTCAAGTTGTCATAATAAGGACATCCCAAACAAATTTAATGTCAAGTTGTCATGACAAAGACAACCCAAACAATGTCAACTTGTCATTACAAAAATCAAATGACACTTAATGACAGCAGTCATAAACATTTATGACATGTACATAATGTTTATGACAAGTTAATTACAGTGTCATGTCATAGTTACGACAGTGTCGTGTCATAGTTATGTAGATACCTTCAAGTAAAGTGTTACCAAATCTGTTTTACTTTGATACTGTTCATTGAGGAGGGACTGCTAACTGCGGTGGCTGACGTGAAAACGTGCATGGCCCTCTCTAGAGCCAGTGATGGGTTTGTCCATTCAAGGTTGCTGTGGACACATGGTGGTGCAACATGGTGGACTCTCTGGATGAGGCTCATTCTAAGAGAACGAAAAAACAGATTTTCATGGTGATTATACACTGAAGAAAACATAGTTACTGTATTATGTTCCATTTCTGCCAGTATTTCCCCCTAAATCCTACACACTGGACCTTTAAGACACATCTATATATGAAGACATCTATGTCTTCATTGCTTGATTGTGATTATTCCATGGTTTAAATTTTTCTTTTTCATTCTCCAAAATGTAATCATTGGGCAAAACTAAAACATAAATGTACTTTCATACTTATTTGGATACATGAGGAGCAGAGGGGCTTCATTTCCCACGCCATTTCCAAATGAAATCAGAGTTCAAAAACATTTAAGAGCCTTGAACATATTACGATACATCATGCATGTGTCGTGCTCCCAAATCCATTTACACTTTCCGAATACCAGATTGTCATAACAACACTCTCTCAGTATTCCTGTTTGTCAGATTGCCATAACAAGGATAATCACTCAGTGTTAATCTTCCAGTAAATTTCACCTTCAGCTGCTTCATTCTCATTGACCCGGAAACATTAGCTTCATTAGTGGACATCCAAAAAAAAAAAAAAGGAAGCCGCTGCCAGTAACTCAAACACGCCAACATGTTTGACGGTAGAAGGACGAATTAATCCAAACAAATGTTTCCTATAAATGTGCAGTTGTCTTCCAACTCTGCCAAGGCAATCATTCTGCATCATTAAATCTCACTTTACTGGCAGTAGTGCTGTGAATTATTTTGTTACATTTTCTAGTCTTGTTAAATAGATTGGGGCACTATGAGAGGACAGAGCTGTGTGAGGGGACTGTTTCTGGTGCATATACACACTCATGAAATTGAAGCACTTCTCTGTGCTAAAATGCCAAGCCTGTATGTGCTGAAGGATGTACTTTTTAACATTAGCGTGTATAATGTAGTGTGTAATATAATGCAACAGACACACGCCATGCAGGCAATTTACATATTCATTCACCACAAAATGTAGAGGAGCTGGTTGGACAGTCTTATTATACAGCACACACTTCCAAACGACATTAAGCCAGTCTTTGAATTTTAATGAGACACATTGCTGCAGAGGCAATAGCCTTGATAAACCTTATTTTAATTGGAAACATTTGTCTGGATTGTATCGTACAGTGTAATCATTACTCTTCACTTCAGTCATTAGTATGCCATCCCTTTACGTTTCCCAAAAAAGTCTGCACAGGCGTGGTGTGGTATTTACACTGACTTTAAATTTACACTTTAACAGCTCAATGTGATCGTTCTCTTTGCTCCTTTATCCATGGGAATGGTATAAATGCAAGTTTTGCCTATGAAAACAACATTTTCATATGCAAACTGAATGTGGACACCCCGCAGGAGCTGCTGCACACACTGTTATTCAAAGAGCCTCCCCCATTTCTAATCTTTTAATTTTACTGTTTGTTCACCAAACTGGAATGACGAGCAACTCAGCATTGCACGCTCTCATGTGATTAACGATGCAAAATGCAAAAAATATGACAGTGAGCAAACTGTGCTGACTTCACAATATGGTTATGACATTTTATCAACATTCCTCAACATGTCCTCAACACAGACTGTATAAAATAATGGCCGCAGCCACCATGATGTCACCCACTGGTTTGTGGACTCCTGTTTTGAAGAGTTTGGTATTTTTGCTGTTGCCATTTTGGATTTTTGAAGTCAGAAATAACCATATTTGGGTGGAGTGAACCCTAACACTAGCTGCTAGCTTGGGCAGCACAGTGCATTTACAGCTATAGTCAACTGTGATAATGCTAATGCTAATTTTTGTTGCTCCATCTTACTACAGAGACAGAGCTACTGGAGAGGCTGCCACTCATGTCGGCGCCATCTTGAAAACAAATTGTAGGCTATGTCCTGGAAAAATTGAACATCCAACTCCTTAAAGTGTCTTTAGTACAACCAAATGCTAAGATTAGCTTTTGCATGCTGCAGAAGCTAATGGGGATCCAATAAACAATAAACAATAAACAATAAAATGCTGAGCAAGACTTTTTTTAGGCGACCAAATTGTCACAATAAAACTTTCACGAGCTAAAAAACACCGAAATAGCAACAGCTACAGCTCTGGGGTTACTCCATGGTTATGTTACCTAACCAACATGTGGTAGCGCCATGGTAGCAACTTGTCAACGGATGGCACTTAAAGAAGCTACACCCGTAATCGTGCATAACTTTAAGCCTTAATAACATTAAAACGAGTGAATTATACGACAAGATTCACCCTCCTGCCCAGTTGTTAAAGGGGAAATTACCTACCAGGCTGTAAACAGGTTTAATTCTGCTGTTAAGTTGGGCATTTTAACATGGAGGTCTATGGAGATTGACTCACTTTTGGAGCCAGCCTCAAGTGGCCATTTGAGGAACTGCAGTTTTTGGCACTTCATTTTTCAGCTCTGAAACTTGTACCTCAATTACATGAGACTTAAGTCATGGAAGTTCATACTGTGATTGTGGATGTGATATCAGTGATTGATTTGAATGATTTCGGGGATTTTGTAAGGCAGTTAATGTCATTTTAACACATTTTTAACTCCTAGTATTTTTTTATTTTACAGCACATATACACCTGTTGCAGCCAGGATAAAGGCAAACAAAGATAAGGTGAGTCATACAAAGGTTTTATCGTATACTCTTTTTAAGCATGACTTTTGTTTGGCAGTGTTGTGTTCTGTTCCATCTTCCATCAAAACCAAGGTTTGGATGAAGACTTAATATACCTATATGCACACTACATGGCCAAAAGTATGTGGACACTCTAACTTTTCACTTAGATGTGATAATTGAACATCTCATCACAAAACAATTAATTACTGTATACTGACTCCAGTGTGCCAGTCTAGTGATGGAAAGTAACTAAGTACATTTACCCAAGCACTCTACTTACATATTTGAGGTATTTGTACTTTGAGTATTTTAATTTTATGTGACTTTATACTTTTACTTTGCGTCATTACATTTATTTGACAACTTCAGTTACTAGGGACTCTTCAGATTAAGGTTTTATGTACATTTTGTATGTTTACTCGTAGTCTAATCAGTAATGCACAAAATTGGACAAATTATACCATTAAGTAATTATATCCAATAATACCATGTATTATTAATATTGCTTGTTTAGGCATACTAAGTAGACCTACTTTTACTTTTGCTACTTTCGACATTTCGCAGGTAATACTTTTGTACTTGAGTAACATTTCTGAATACAGGACTTCTACTTGTAATGGTGTTGCCCATTTTTACACTGTGGTGTTTCTACTTTTACCGGAACAGAGGATCTGAGACTTCCATCTCAGCGTTTCTCAACACATTCTCACTCCAAACTCGTCAAATACCAACGCTCGATCATTGGGCCTACATGTCAAAGTATGACGCATGACACTAAGTACTCTCCAGCATCAGTTTTGGACACTTAGGGACGACATACCAATTTCTGCTCATTATATACATTGTGTCCTTTCAAAATAAACTTCTGTTGTCATGTTGCTATTACAATAACTGGATTGACTTTTGGATTCTGGTCCAGGTCTACCAGGAGAAAGTCAAAGTTTGTTTGACCCATCCACCTCCCCTCCTGCCTGCTCTATGCAGTCTTTCTTTATACTATAGTAGTGGCCCCAGCTTTCACAAAATGCCTCTAAAGGGTGCTTTGGTGCACTGGTGTCTGATGCCAAAGGGGCCACTGACCAAGCGTCTGTTTTTGACGAGATGGGAGTGAGACCTGGTTGGTTTTTCACTTTGTCAAGTGTTATATTGCTGCACAGCTGTGGCATATTTTAGTAAGAGTCATCATATGGTTGTGGGAAGTGTTGTCAGCCAGTGACATATTGTTTCAGTCTGCCATATGCTGGTCAAACAGCAGCAACATACCATTAGTTTAAGTGATATACAGCTAAGAATTGGCATGTAAAAAACAAGAGTGGTACAACACTGGTATATGCAGGTGAAAAATGCTACCTGCCAGTCAACAGAAGTGACATACCTATTTTAAGTGCCATTAGTCACTACAACAGCAGCGGAACAGTGACATAGTACTTTCCATCAGCATATAGAGGCATACCATTAGAGCACTTTTCAGTCTCTGCCGTGCTGTAGCATTAAGGTTTTATAAATAACTTTTTGTCATATTTGCTGAAGCTTTCACTCCATCTAGACATTAGTGCATGAGACAGATAGTCAAAAAAAGCATAATGGCATTGCTAGAATCTATCCTACATAACAAAAACAACCAATCAGAGCTGAGCTGCCAATCATGTCAGTCACTGCTTATGAACTGCAGTCAAACTGTCAAGCTAGGCAGCGCTGATCAACTATGGATGAATATTCTGTTACTGCATTGCCTATTTCTCACCCCAAATGTTTTCAGAAACATATTTGATTGAATGAGAAAGTTTGGGACCCAGTCGCCATGTTGGAAACAGTCAAGCTGAAACGGAGCACTGCCCATTGGCCACTCTCATAATTCCTAAGCGGCCAAACCCAAGCCATTGGTAACAGCCCCAGACCAAAGCTCCCCAAAGTATGCTACTTTTGGCTGTATAGTGTGTAAGGCTTATGTTGAATATTCCTTCTCCCTGTTGTGTCTTCTCTAATGCAGTTTTTTTTTTGTAACTTCAAAATCTTTTCTTACTGTTTGAAATTCTTCTAACTCTGTTGCAGGTGTTGATTTACAGTCCAACATTTTTCAAATACGTGTATGAGTCTTGGCTCGAGGGTCATGGACGATATCCCTCCACTGGCTTCCTCACCTTACTGCTCGCTATCCACATATGCGATGAGGTGAGTTCAACCACTGTCTCAGGGACATGCCATTAAAATTCCTCAGTAAGATGGAAAACCTGTTCAAGGACAAATACACTGCGCTCTCAAAAAGCTGTTATGTGTTTTAAAAGATGCATAAGTGCTTGTGTGGATGATGTTTTACACGGTGCTTTTGTTCCTCCTCTGCATCCAGGTCAGTGTGTTTGGATTCGGTGCTGACCAGTACGGAAACTGGCACCACTACTGGGAGGAGAACCATTTGGCCGGAGCCTTTCGACATACGGGAGTCCATGATGGAGATTACGAATATAATGTCACCCTGCTGCTGGCAGACAAGCACAAAATCCGAATGTTTCGAGGCAGATGATACCGAGCCCATATGTACAGCGGAATGACCACCAAATGAACCTCAGCAGCCTTTCACTGTTTATTTTTCCACCGCCTCACACTGGAAGAACGCTTTTGTCATGATTCCCAAAGACATTCTCACATGAACTCTTCTGGTCTGTCCAGTTTCTCTTTCTTCACTTAACACAGTGTGTAAGAAATGCCACTGCTGTTGACAAACCAACAGAGCTTCCGTCTCTGTGTGCCCAGACACAGGCAACGACAGACCATCAGTAAGACAAAAGCAACACTGCCATTTGTTTGAGTAATCCCCACTGAAATTTGTCTGGGAGTGAACAGACAAGACAAAGACGTCTTGTCAACAAGCATGCTATACATAAACAGCTTTAGTACTCTTGTATAGTATGTGTATAGTCTTTATGTTCTTTTTTTATGAATGGCTAGCATTGTGGCCACCTTAAGCTTTGTATGGTTATGGTCACTGACAATAAATACGCTCTGCTGACAGCAGGAGACAAAGTGCCATGATTGATCTGTTGATGTATAGACGTAACAAGGAAATATAATGGAAACTGTTTTCGTCCAAACTGACAGATAACAAACATAAAAGAATCTAGACTCTGCTGTAAATATCACTTCAGTATAACTTTCCTTTGTAAAGGCAGATATGAGAATCAGCTCTTTTTCCATCACACTGACCAATTCTGACCAAATTCTCATAAACTACTTGCACTATAAGAACTACTTGCATTTTGCTTGTCTGATTACAGCTGGTAAAATATAGTTTGACAGGGCCCAACATATCCTCATACAACAGTTCGTATGTTATCAAACAAAGTAGCGCCCATGAATTATGTATTTGACATAAAGTTGCGTACCTAACCTTAAGTTACTTAGGTTGGGTTTAGGCAAGTAAAGCAACGTATCCTCATACAACAGTTCGTATAATGTCCTACAAATCAGCACCCCATTAATTACATGACAGTCTTAACTTAAAGTTAGGTAATTAACGTAACGTTACGACAACACATTGTCACTCCAACCTCGTCACATATCGACGTTTGGATATGGACTTTCTAGTTTGAGATATGAAGTGCAAGGTACCCTGGGTGTGTCGTTTGTTGGCGTCCTAGGACGTTGTGTCAACTTCAGCCTGATACATGCATTGTCTGTTACATGCAAAATAAATGCACTACGTCAGTACAATACCGCGAATTGACGTTTTTTTCCTTCAACAACATAGCCACTTAGCCAACACATGCACATGGTTGGGTTCAGTAAAAAAAAAAACGTGGTTTGGCTTTACAACCAAACAGGAAGTGAACACCGGCCTCCCAGGTGAATGTCAGTGGTTAATGGATCCATCCACCACGCTTCCCACCCACCCTACTCTGACCTTTTGCCCCTTAACTTACGTTTTTGTCCCACCACGCCCCTGACACCGCTGGGCCATTAAACAATAATGGCAACCACCCGTGTATCATGCGAACGTGAAAGGATGGCTTTTTTTGTCAGTGTCTGACACCGGAGGTCACTGAACAAGCGCTGGTTTTGATGACTTCGGGGTGAGACTGGCTTGGTTATGGAGGTTAGATTTAGGCAAGTAAATTTACTATGGTTAGGTTTAAGAAAAGCGAGGATGCCCACACAGTTCCGAACATCGGCCTTCTGGGGAAAGTCCTGTGTTTTGAGAACCATCCACCACTCCAACCTGCCTCCCAGCTGGATCACTTGGAACTGTCTCTTTCTTTACTCCTGTCAGTGCACTGGATACGAATCACAGCCATCCAAAAAAAACATGGGTTACGTAAAAAAAATGACTGGCATATCATTACATGGAATATGTACGAATTCTGGTGCTTTACCTTTCGTAGGAAACATACAAACAGTGCATGAGAACAGCCTGAGTAAAGTTACATAGGTTAGGTTTAGGAAAAAACATGGTTCTGAATACCAGTCTCCTGAGGGAAAGTCCTGTGTTTGTTTGGCCCATCCACCACCCCAATCTTCCGTCTTATGAGGAATTACATTCTTTATTCTACTTCCTTATTTGCTTCCTACAGCGCAACCAACTGAAAATCCCCCCATGTACAGTACCAAATGTGTAGGAGAACTACAGTGGCTAATGTGAAAACACACATGGCCCTATCTAGAGCCAGTTTGATTCTTAGTTTATGTGATTATACACTAAAGAAAACATTGTTATGATTATATTTATGCCCTAAATCCTACACAACGGACCTTGAAATTAATTCAGAATCAGACCCACAGAACATATTGTACTACCCATGGGGCTGTAGCCACGGTTTTAGAAGTCAGTTCAAGTCTCCCAAACATACGGCCAACTTCACTTTTGTGGCCACAGAAATAAAATCAGTAAAGTTATTTCACTTTGTCATATTTCATTTATGCATTGATTTGTTAAGTTATATTTCCTTTGAATTTTATTTCTTAACATGATGTTCAGTATGATGTTTCAAAGCCCTCTCCACACCACCAGAAATAAAATTCTGGTTATGACATACTAAATACTATTAATATTTGTCAATTTTTTATATATTAAGTCAAAAAAATCTGAAATTAGTCCCCAAAACAGAAACTGTGCACATTTATAGCCATGCTTGCAGTATCACTTGGTCGCTCACCCCACCACTTTGGTCCAGACTAACGCATGGATTGATAGAGATAAAAAAGATAAATCTCAGTAACTTTCCTGACCTCTGATGTTTGCTCTTGTCCCACCAGCAGATTGACGTTTGTAGTTTTGACTGCGATATCTCAACAACTACTGGACGGATTGCAGTGAAATCTGGTGCAGAGTCCTGTCCTCCTTGGGTTGAATTGCAATTTAACTTGTCCAATACTTCAGTAGCAATCAAGCATCTGCAAAACTATTGACATTCACATTAGCCTGTATTTGTATTTTGTCCTAATGAGCAAATATTAGAAAACCACTGTGCTTATAAGTACAGCCTCTTGGTCTTCTTTCAGATTGTAGAATTTAAGATTTCTCATCAAAATTCCCCGGAAAAAAATAGAGGTCATGATCTCACCGCCCACAGTACGGCCTGAATTACCCGTGAGCTGGTAGCTTCCAGTGTTAGTACTACACACAAACTGTGGCTGCAGCTATCAGCGCAGTGCTGGGGCAGTGTCAAAGGCCACGCCACAACTGTTCAAGAAATCTCGGATCGCAGATTATTATTTTTTGAACTACATGGCTCATTACAAAGTGAGCAGTCATTGATGAGAGAACACATCCACTGGCACTAGACCTGCAGCAAGAAGTGTTGTGTTGTGGAAAAGCCATCGATACGGTTTTCATGCCACAGTGTTATGAAAAAATGATGCGAGTTTGAAGTGAAACACAAACACCAGGTTCTTGAAGTTGTTGCTGAAGTTGTAGACGTTCATCATGCATCATTGAAACCTGATGTATTTACAGGGGTGCCTTATCAGTGAACATTAATGTGACATATACATGTGAATAACAAGGTGTTAAGTGCCTTTAATGGGAGATTTTAAGACTTGATTTTTACCATCAAATTGTACTGTATTGTAATTATTAACATCCATATTATTAAATGTGTCAGCAGCCTTTATAAGTTTATGTTCTTGTTGTGTGTACAGTGTCAATTTAAAGGATCATATGCATGATACATACAGTATAATCATCTGAAGTGATGAGATGTTTTGTACACACCAGAGAAGAAACTGTTGGGCATATACATGTGGGCGACATCACTGGCTCTGGTCGCTGCAGTTTTGATGACACACAGCTGCCCAAGCTTGAAATTATTAGCTGCATTTGCTGAACTTGTTGTAGATGTGCGAATGCTTTATGACCCCGCGTTATCATTTTCACCAACAAATCTCTGATCTGAAACACCCTAAGTGTTATTTCAGATTGGCCAGGAATAGAGCTTGCCGGTGCTTATGTGATAGGCTATGATTTGCTCCATGTGCCTTGAAACGTAATGGGACATTTGCCCGGTCATGATCTTTTTTTTTTTCTCCTCTCCATGTGAGAGCGTGCTGATAAGAGGCAAAACCACAATGTTTGCTCAATTCAAATTTGCCAGCCACTTTGAAGACAACAGTGGTGTGCATGTGTTCTGCAGGGGACACTGTCACCTAGTGGACGAGAACATGAATCAGCATTAACATCACTGGATTCGTCCATTATGAGACAAATGTGACACTTTTAAAACTGTGTTCAGACATGACTACAGAGTCCGTCACTCACCTGTGTGTGATCCCCATCTTGTTGAGGTTTTACTGGTTGAGAAGTTACATAAGACCCATTAAAGCAAGAATCTAATTTCTATGTTTGCTGTGTATTTTTCCGAGTATGAAGAGGTCATTAATATTGACTTGTGTGGGAGAGCGGGATAATGAAAAACTTGCATTATTCAGTTATTCAGTTATCAGTGCACAGTACAGAAACACACAGCTGGAGTTTTTTTTCTGAAAAGTGTGAAAGGACAAAGAGGTTAATTGATTATAAATTATACATTTCACAGTTTTATGCACATTTGTGTGGGAGGCTATAATATAGACGGATAGTTTGCACGGACTGGTGACTGCAGACTCAATATTGCAAGTTGAGGTCAGTGTAAATGATTTAATTAGACAAAGGAAAATGTGGATAATTATAAATAAAATATTTTAAAGAGAAATACATTTCATTGGTTCTAGCAGCAAAATAATTGTTTCCAAAAAACATCCAGATTTCTTTTGAACTTTGAATTTATTTCCCTTTCCGCTGTTGGGATGGTTGTGCGTTCCCTCATAGATATTCATTTCATCTCTCTCATTTAAATTGTTTTCATTTAAAGTATGAAATCTGAAACATGCTCATTTGTCAGCTTTAATTAGTGAGGGGGTGTTTATCTTAGTGCCCCTCTCTATGTGGTATGTTTAATCCACCATTACACACCACAACTAACAGACTTATAATAAAAACGTATGAATGCCAGAAGGCTTCCGTGGTTATTATCTCTTCTCTCCATTTCATATTCAAGAAAAGCTGTAATAATCTATGTGTATTAAACACACGATGTGATGCTATCAGAATGCAACTAATGAATGGTAAACTGTGCTTCAGCAGGATGTTTGATTTTGTTTTAATTGTATGCTTAAATGAGATTAAAAACCTAAGCTACAGTTGTTATCCCTGAGGACTTGGCCCCGAGTGCTGCGACGTGTTTTTTTGTTTCCTGCTTTTTTCTGTTCATTATAAAGCAGCTCAGCGTCTCACAGCTTGACTTCACAGTGCAGTGCAGCTGTTTGGTGGCTGCTGTGGGACAAACATGTTCATTTTCACAAATTAGAATAATTATAGTGGCTGCTGAATCAGCAACTACACTTATTTATTCTGTTGTTTTTTTATTGGTGCAAAAACAAAATCAAGTGCAAATAGTGACGACACAGATATAACAATGAGAGGAATGGGGGGCAGACGAAGAAAGAAGACAAGGTGATGTGCAGAATTTAACACTGTGTACACACACACACACACACACACACACACACACACACACACACGTGTATGACTGTAAATAAAAAAATAAAATATATAATAAACAAATATGAATAAATAAATAAATAAATAGGCAGTAATAGTAAGGACGAAATGAAAAATACTAAATGCTAAATAAATAAATGGATGGTTTGATATTTAGATATGACAGCTTTATTATTATATTATATATATTATAATATGGAGGGTCCTAGCAGGGATGTTGAGGTGGGGCATTGATGTCACTGCCAGCATATAGAAAATAACAAACAACAGATAAAAAGGGTAAACTAATCGTCAGAATGATTCTAATAATATCCTGTCATGGCAGTTAAATTTGGGGAATTTTGATAAATTTGGGCTGCTTGCCTATGTGTTTGATTTTAAGTAAATGAATAATGAAAATGATGATGACTAATAATTCTCCTCATTATCATTAAATATCTTATTATTCTTATTGTTATTATTATTAAAAGAAATACATATTTTTTATAAATGAATTAATAAAACAGCTGGGTGATTATAGTAAGGAAGGAATACAAAATAATAAAATAAATGCACAGTTTGATATTTAGATGTGACAGCTATTATTATAATATGGAGGATCCTGGCAGGAATGCGGAGGAGGGGCATTGATGTCACTAACAGTAGAAAATAACAAACAACTGATTGAAACAATAAAGTAAT